GCTGGCAACCGATAAGAGGTCTTTTGCACATGTTGAACCGATAGCCCACCATCATACCAGCAAAGGCCATGCTTTGATTGGTAACGCGTTCCATGGGAAAGTTATAGGATACGCACTCACAAGCGGAATACCTCATCAAAATGATAATCGAAGGACGCTGCTGCTGGGGGCGGAGCACAGGCCGTGGCGGAGCTCAGAAAGGAATGGCAAGCCCAGTACGCTGCAACTAGCGCACCTTTGGCCACAAAAACGCCACATTTCGTTTCCTTGGCCCCTGACTACTGCTTCCACTGGTGCATGTACTTCCACGCTGCACACACACTTTATCGTAATCTCTCGCTTTAATACTAAGTTGGGACCATTCGGTTTGAATCGAGCAAAGTGTGATTAAATCCATCTGAATGGGAGAGACAAAATGTCTATTTTTATTGCCCCCCCCCTCTCCTGTATGATAGCTGTTGTACAATACTTCGGCTACTCCACTGTAACACCAGTTCCAAAGGATGTGAAAGGCCAACTACTTGATAGACATCAGTTCAGGAGATTCGGAAAGAAATATTAATCATAATACTGGATAAACTCAAGGGAAAAAGTTTTTTTTTGCAGCAAAGAGTACATAAGTGTAAAGGTGTGAAAGAAGAGAAACGACGAATGTTAATGCGCTCATGCCCGCTGTTGTAAGCGCGGCCATCCAGCAGGCAGAGTGGGACACACATGTCCCACGAGGTCGTCATCGTGTTAAAGGAAACATTACATGGTGTTTTTGTTCCAGGAAGAATTGCAAAATCTCCAACAAAAAACCAATCGCTACTTACGGACGAAGGAGCTGCTCCAGCAACACAGCACAAATGCCGATCTAGTCATAGTGTATGTGATCACTTGTTATTTTCTTTTTTTCCTTTGTCTCTCACGGTAGTGAACTTTCCAATGAACTCATTTCGTCAATATACCTCTCTGTAGTGAGTCCCGTGCAACTACGTGCAGTCGGACGGAGATATGATTAGTGAGAACAAAGAGATGATATATTTGGTAAGGTATGAAAGTTCGGATAGGTACAATTGATCAGTGTTAAAGAATTGTAAGGTAGGAGGATGGGGGCGGTAGGGTTCGGGGTCCGGAAGTTGAGATATTTGAATGTAGGTATGTCTTAAATGCGCTCTCCGCCCCATACTCTCCTCTCAGTCTCTCATTCCCTTCGCACAGCC